TATGTATGCGTTTTGGATTGCAAGCATGATCGATATAGCTGTTTTTTTTCAGGTGAATCTGGACTTCAGTTCTGAAGCTGACATGATAAACAAGTTCCGTGCTGGTCTTTCATTGCAGCCTGTGAGAAACTTTGTCCATTCCCGTTTCCATTCGAACTATTTTTATTTTTTATTTTGACAAGTTATTTAGTAGGAAGTTTGTTTGTTCTATACTTGTATAGATCTAACTAGATGATGTAACAGATCGCTACAGCCCTGTTTGCGAATTCACCTTTTACTGAAGGAAAACCTAATGGTTATCTCAGTATGAGAAGGTAAATTGAATGATGTTTCTTGAGCAAGATATGGACTGTACAATAAATATTGTTATTAAATGTCACGTTTTCTTTGTTTCGCCAGCCACATTTGGACCGATACGGATGGAAATCGTACTGGCATGCTTCCCTTCGTCTTTGATGATTCCTTTGGGTAAGCTTGCATTCATTCTGATAAATCGAGCTAGATAGCATAGCATTTATGAATGACTTTATACTGATTGTAAATATACTTTACTAAAAGCGGGAAAAAAAAAACGTTTTTCATCATTTTTGAAGTGTATTATGGATTATTTGTGTTAATTTCTTTTTTAAATTGCACAATCTGAAACACCCCTCCTCCCACCCCCCACAGCACAAAAACTATTTCTTTCTTGGACGAGAGATTGGGGATAAAGTAGATTTGTCCATATTGAAACTACCTTTCCATAAAGTACGCTTGTTATGGGGCTATGAACATTAAGATTTTTTATTATTTTTTTTAATGAGCTTATTAGTGTGTTGGTTTGGTGTTTCTATGTTTTGATGGGCACAGGTTTGAGCAGTATGTAGACTATGCGCTTGACGTCCCTATGTATTTTGTGTATCGAAAAAAGAAGTATATTGATTGTACTGGAATGTCCTTCAGGGTAATCCATTGTTTTTAACCAATCATCCTTTCCTGTTTAATTCTACCTGCTTTACCAACATTAAAGCTTTGGCAGGATTTTATGGCGGGGAAACTGCCTCCTATTCCTGGAGAATATCCCACACTTAATGACTGGGAGAACCATTTGACAACAATATTTCCCGAGGTACAAAATGCGGGGTTTGTTAAATATTTTCCTTAATAATCGTTCGCTCAATTAGGATGTAGGTTTCTATATTATGGCTGAAACTTAGTTACTTACGTTTTTCAGGTGAGACTTAAAAGGTACCTGGAAATGCGAGGGGCCGATGGAGGACCTTGGCGGCGATTATGTGCATTGCCTGCTTTCTGGGTATGTGACATTTTCTTCTAATCATCGTAGGCTTTTGAGATTTATCAACTTGTAGAGAAACCTTTTACCTAAAGACTAAGTTCTTGGTAATGATCTTTGAACCTCAGGTTGGTTTATTGTATGATGATATATCTTTACAAAGTGTTCTGGACATGACAGCAGATTGGACTATGGGAGAACGAGAGATGTTAAGGAATAAGGTAACACGTTTTTTGGAAAAAATAAACATCTTGCAAGACAAACAATTAACGAAAACCTTTGCTGTTAGGTTCCTAAAAGTGGTTTGAATACACCATTTCGAGACGGTTTGCTCAAGCATGTTGCTCAAGATGTTCTGCACTTGGCGAAAGTGAGTAAACAAAGCATGTTGTAGCCAGTCATATCGTTGAGAAGTTGTCACTACAGCGCTTCCTACGAGTTAACTCATCCGTTCGTTCTTCTTACGTGCAGGGAGGTCTGGAAAGAAGAGGCTATAAGGAAACCGGGTTTCTGAATGCAGTAGCTGAAGTCGTCAACACAGGTAACATAGTACTATATAGGTTTAAACCCTAAACCTGACGGCCCCTCACCCCCTGCCCTGGGGATTGTGAGAGGAGAGGTAAATCACGAGATGTGCCTCAGTGACGCAGGGTCTGAATGCTTGCCTCATTGAGGATTCGAACCCGGGCGTTTGTTGGGTTAGTGCACCCACACTCAACCTTTCAACCACTGAGCTATACCCCGGGGTGCCTGGGGGAAACATAGTACTATATAGGTTTAAAACCTAAACTTGAGGGCCCCTGACCCCCTGCCTTGGGGATTGTGAGAGGAGGTAAATCACGAGATGTGCTTCAGTGACGTAGGTTCTGAATGCTTGCCCGTGTTTGTTGGGTCAGTGCACCCACACTCAACCTTTCAACCACCGAGCTATATCCCGGGGGAAACCCTGGGGGAAACATAGTACTATATGTGTTCACGCATGTTTGTCTTAAATCTATTTCAACTATGCTTGGTCTTTGAAGTATTTAGCCGTGTACGAGAAACCTCCTTAGCGTGTTAACTTAGTAGAGAAACATTTATCGACTGAACATTATATTTGTATATGCGTTATAGGCGTGACGCCAGCCGAGAAGCTCCTGGAATTGTACCATGGGAAATGGGGGCAAAATGTTGATCCTGTATTTGAGGAGCTGCTTTACTGAGGCTAAACAAGAAAGAAGCTGTGTTTTGGGGTTTTGTTTTTGTGGTGTAATCATTCTTCAAAACACTTTAGGGCAACTTGTGTTTAGAATAAAGGTTTGCATACAGAGATGTATTTTGGTCCAATCTTTGTTGGATATTTATATAGTAGATGGGTGCTTCAGGTTTCAAGCATGCAACCCAAAACTTTAATTCATACTTTGGGTGTTAAAATATCATTTTAAGTTTCGTAGGAATATATTAAAATTGTTGATCAGACGAGCATGGCGACGTCGTATTTTAGTACGAGAATCATATTCTATCTACTCCATCATTCTTGTTGGGGCTTATTTGTGCATATATTTTGAGGCATAGATTACTTGTCATATATCCATATTTTAATAATAATAATTTTAGGGGGTGTATTCAATCATGACTTTTGTAGAGTTTTAAAGACTTTTAAAATGATAGATTTTAATAAATTTTGATTGACTTTCATAGAGTCGTTCAAAACTTTTTAAAACTTTATAAGACTATAAAAGTCTATATAAAAAGCATTCATAGACTTTTATCAACTTTTTATTTTAAAACGTTTACAAAAGTCGTTGAAATTCTAAATTGAATACATCCTTACAAACTTTTAATGATTTTGATTCTTATCATTTATATAATTTTCTTACAAAACATTTATAATATATCATAAAATTTTCTTATTATATAGTTCTTCACCCACATTAACATTATTATTTATCTACATAGTATGTAGGTTGAGACTTATATGTTAATTACTTATATATATTATTAATAAACATAAAAAAAAATTATTTCATTAGAAATTCATAACAATATTGAATAATAAAATTTATAATAAAAGAATTGATCAAATAAAATATTTAAAAATATAATTACAAGTTGCATAAAATAAAAAAAATAAAAATTTAATATTTGTAATATATATATATATATATATATATATATATATATATATATATATATATATATATATATATATATATATATATATATATATATACACTTGATATATTGATAGGCATCACGCAAAGAACTATTATTTGCAATAAGAGACTCCGAACAACAAGAAGGTGCTACTATTTGCAACCCCAAATTATTGTTACGAACAGTAGTTCGCTATTCGTAGTAACTTGTTAAAAATAGGAAAAATATATATTACGAGTATAAACATAAAAAGAATAAAAATCAAAATATATAAGTATTTATATGAATATTATGAAACATATACTAAAACTTGATGATGAAAAATTTGCTTTGTTCATGTATTTAGGGAGATTAGAGAAAGTTAGGGATAAAAAATTTATTGAAAAAATAAAAATCAATATAAACAAGTAATAATGAAGTAAAAATAATATTATTTCGAATTTTTAGATTAAGATTGTAAAGTTTACGAGAGAAAAAAAAATTGGTAGAGTTTTAGGTATGAGGAAAATATGGGATAATGGAGAAAAAATTAATTTTATTAAATTTAGATAGGTTTATAAAGTTTAAATAGAGAGAAAAATAGAGTTTAAGTAGAGAGAGAAAACATTCAAAGTTGTTAGAAAGAAAATTTTGAAATCTTGGGGTTGATGGTTGGATTTGAACTATTTATATTTGAGAAGGAAAAGTTTACAAAAGTCTTAAAATTAAAAAGTCTACAAAAGTTCATAACTTTTTGAATACCATATGACTTTTAAAGACTCTATAAAAGTCTTAATCGAATACCACACAACTTTTAAAGACTCTTTAAAAATCTTGATTGAATACCGCCTGAATTTTAAAGACTCTCTAAAAGTTTGAATTGAATACCCCCAAACTTTTAAAGTTCATAAAAGTCTTTAAAACTCTATGAAAGTCAGGATTGAATACACCCCCTTAGTCCATTTGTTGTACATTCAAAAAGATCTATTAGACCCTTCTTTTTCAATTAAACAAAAAAAGACACGTAATTGATAACTTTAGTGATATTTGGTAAAGAAAAAAGCCTTTATTCCCTCTGTCTTATTTTATTTGTCTACTCATTATTTATTGATTAAATTAACTTTTTTCTCTTTATTTATTTTTATTAATATTTTTTTTATAATTTTTAAATTTAATTTTTTTTTTTATGTTTAATAGTGATTTTTAATGTAATTTCTAAATATATGAATTTTACATATTAATTCTAAATTTTTTGAACACAATTCTAAATTTAATATTATAAAAAATTAAATTATAAATAGCATCCGTCAAACTTCTTTCAACACATAAAATGGGACGGATGGAGTAATATTGTTTGATTTATTGGCCAATATTTCACTACTACAAAAATGAGTATATAACTATAACTTTACACTACACCCCTTAATGATGGTGTAGTGGAAAGTTCAAACAAATAAAAATTCACTACACTTTTAAAATAAAGGTGTAGTGGAAAGTATTTTCGAAATTAAAAAAAAAAAGAAAAAGAAAATCTTTCCGCATCACCAGCCTGAAGAGGGTGTTGCGAAGAATTTATTATTATTTTATTAAAGAATTTTCGCGGCACCTCTTAGAAAATGGGTGTAGCGAAAAATAAACCCAAAATTAATACCCTACCCGCCCCAGACTTAGCATTTTTCTCCATTCATTTCGCCCTAGACTTTCTTCCGCCATCTGCTATTTCTTCCCGGAAATCTACAGTCCGACAGCCATTTCGCCGGCTTCTTCGCCGTTGACGACAGCCGTTCCGCCGCCCTTCATCTGCAGACGACGACTACCGACCTTCCTCTCGCCAACAGACGACGACGACCTTCCTCATTTTCGAGACCAGAACAGACAGACGACGACAGCCCTTCCCGCCGCCGCTCTTCCTTCGCCGACGAAGACAGCCGACAGCCATCGCCTCAGCCTCAGCCACACTCGCCGGCGCCTTTCCTTCGTCGGAGATGCCTCACTCGCCATCGCCACCGACCACTCCGTAGCCGCCGATTCCCAAAACAACGGTAAGTTTATTTTTTTATATTTTATATTAATTTATTTCAAGTTTTTTTGTTAATTGATTTCAAATATTATTGTTATTGTGATATTAGTATCTTATTGACTATCTTATTGTGATTTTAGTAGTTAAGATTGATTAGTGTTGATTATAAACTAGGTCTTAGGGCTTGTTCAGTAATGTGGAAAAGAAAAAAATGGAAACATGTTAGTGTTGATTAGTAGCTAAGGCAGATAGCTGGAACAGTGAACACCCATTTATAAACTGATTGTCATTTCACATCAACTCTAGTATCTAGAACAGTGAACACCCATATATTATACCTTGTAGGATTGTTTTATCTTCGCACTGAATGTAGTTTGTTTTAGCTTTCCAGGTCAAGTTTTGAATTGTAGATGAGTGATTGTCTGAAAATGCTTTGTTCGCATCGAAAGCATGTTCTCTTATCCTGCTTAAGGTCAACTGATTTATGTTCTGAAACTGTTGAGCAAAAACTGGTATTGAGATGATTTACCTGTATCTTGGCAGGGCAACCTGGACTTGCTTCTCAATATTTTCACACTCAAGCTGGGGTTTGCAGCCATGGTTCACAGAAACTCTTTTATTCATCTGTATTCTGTAAACTATTCCTACTAGCTTAAGCTTGGTTCGATTGCTAGATGCCTTGAAATCTCACACTTGCAGGGACTGAAATCTCACACTTGGTATGAAGTAAAGATATCTTATCCTGCTTCTGTATGTATATCTTAATCCTGTCCTCTGTTTGTCAATGTTTACTTCAATGTATCAAAACTAAATTGTTCTGTTTAATGAATAACAGATACCAGCTACTTTTTCTTTACAACTCAAGAAAGATAGTTCAGGGTTGGAGCTAAATAGGGAAAGAAAATTACTGAATACTGAGGAACCATGGAGAACTAACTGTAGCTACATTGTATTGTTGGGGGACAATGAAGAACTATTGGTAACAACCTTGTATAGTCTAAGGATTCAAGTTATAGCTGAGGCAACAAGTTATCGCTGAGCTGTTGAGGTATATCCATTTTTGAACTCAAATTCTCCATTTTTCTGCAGTGATATAGTTAGTGGAAGAAATTGTTGTGTCAAGTTTTGTGCTGGGGAAACTGTTTTGATTGTAATTGGACACATACAAAATTCAAAGTGTTTGTCACCGCAGTTCACTATTAGGTGAAGAGGAGGAAGGGGGCTATGAAGAGAAGGAGTGTGAGCAGGAAGAAACACATGAGCCTTAAATGGAGTAGTTGGAATATTTGGAACTAGGGCGAAAGCTGAAAGAAATATTTCGGGATAGAGGTACATAAATTTAGAGATAATTCAAGAGCCTAAGTATATTGTGTTGATTGTTATAAGTATATTGTGTTGATAATTATACATATATTCTGTTGATTGTTAATTGTTGTATTAGTTTGTAAATTATTGTGTTGGTTTGTTGGTTTGTTGTATTAGTTTGAAAATTATTGTGTTGGTTTGTTGTATTAGTTTGTAAATTATTGTGTTGGTTTGTTGGTTTTTAGAAATTTCTGTACATGATATTATTTTTTGGTTTTAAAAAATTAAATACAAAAATAAAAAAACACACAAATTTTTGCAGAATATATTTAATTATTTTTTTAAAATTCCGTGACACCCTCTCTAGGGTGTTGCAGAATTTTGATTTTTTTTTTTTAAGTAATACTTTCTGCTACACCCTTAACGAAGAGGGTGTAGCGGAAAGGCTTGATTTTTTATTAAAAAATGACTTTCCGATACACCCTCCACGAAGAGGGTGTAGCGGAAAGTCAATATTTAAAGAAAAAAAAATTAATATCTTTGGCTTTCCGTTATACCCGCTACGGGTGTAGCGGAAAGCTAACACTTTCAGCGACACTGGATTTCGCTACACCTGTATAGGTGTAGCGAAAACACTTTTAGAGGTGTAGCTGATGTGATTTTTTTGTACTAGTGTTTGTTGTCTGCTTTACTGTCACCTAAATCGGGTATTTAGTCAATTGTTGTTTTTCTTACTAGGACTAGGAGAGCACAGCAGCGGCTTGGAGGATCTCACAATCTCACTCTGGTTTCTTTGAAGTAAGAACACGAAATCCTATGAATGTTAACCAAATGAATGTCAAGTATAGGATATCACTATTGTAAAAGCTTTTGTTGAAGCAAGAGAATGTTTTTGTTCCTCATGTGTTTGTGAAAATGTCTGAATGAATATGTGTTTCATGCCCACGACCTTTGGGTTCATCAAATTTCTGAGCTTTGGATTCATCAAATTTCTGAGCTTTGATTTCTCTTCAGTCGGCGACGGAGACGAGAATAATGCTGGGCACTTGTATTTTAGCTAAATTGTTATTTTTTATTTTATTATTATTTTTTTTATATTCCAGCTAAATTGTTTGTTTTTTTTTATATTCCATTGATTTTTGTGATTTTTTTTTTTTTTTTTTTTTTTTTGGATTTTATCATTTTCTTACTCATTTTCTGGAAAATGAACCAAACACCCAAAGACAGTTTTTTGTTATGTAGCCAAACACCGGAAAAGAAAATGTTTCCCGAAAAATGACTCATTCTAGAAGTCATTTTTCTGCTTTCCAAACGGACCCTTAATTGAAAATAAACCAGTTTCTAGTTCATTAGTTATCGTTTAATGGATATATTATCTGTGAATAAATATTGTGATATGTATCAATGTTTAGATGAAGTACATGAAGCCATTAAACTTGTTCCAAGAATTGGTAAAGTCACGGGGTCGTTTGCTTGGTTTGGATGTCGGCAATAAGTATGTTGGTTTAGCTGTCTCAGATGTAGAAAATAAATTAGCATCACCTCTGAGGTAATATAACTTGTACAAAACTATTAACTATAATGTCCCTTTTCAGCATTTATAGTTAGAGTTAAGTTTTATTCATATGATTTTGTTGATATTGTGTTTGTAGTGTGCTGATTCGCAAAAAATCCAATATTGACTTGATGGCCACTGATTTCCAGTCTCTTGTAAGGCTTTCTTTCTTAAATTGTATGTACTCTTCCTGGTTTACTTTGTTTTCTTTAAGGATTAAGATTGTTTGGTCATTCAAATCATTTGCCATTTTGATTATGTACAGATCTCTGAGCTTTCCTTGAAGGGATTCATTTTTGGCTACCCTTTTGATCGACAACGAAACAATCCAGATGTAGGTTTTAGTTGTATTTTTTTTTTTTTTTTTTTGGTATCGAAATTTTGATACATCTTCTCTTTGGTTTGCTAGGCTGTGCAAGTTAAACTTCTGATTGATGATCTTTGTGAAACTGGAAAACTTGTTGACGTAAAATACACGTTTTGGGATGAAAGCTTCTCATCCAAGGTTTGCTCTTTATATTCTTTAGGCGATAATTTGCCTTTGAATCCCAGTAATTGCCTTTAAACTTAGGCCTATATATCTTATTCAATGAATCATAAGTAATATATTATATATCTCCAAAAGAAAAAACTCTTCAGTGAGGCTTTGACAACCTATATAGAACTTGCTATGATTCCAAGTTATCATTTTCTTTTTTGTCTCTGCAGAGTGTGGAAATGTTACTGAAGCCTTTAAATTTGCATCCGGTTCAGTCAAAGACAATAGTGGACAAATTTGCTGCGGTTGAAATACTCCAGGTAACAACAACATTGAACAGAAATCTCTAGGTGATCTGATGTACAGTTTGGTAAATAGTTGGGTTAGCTGATTGGGTTAGTGGGTTTCACTAGTTGATAACGTTAGCTGATTGTAGAAAAGTGTTTGGTAAATTAGTTGTTAGCTGATAGCTGGTTACATGCAAAATTACTTTCTCAAAAAACTGATCGTTTTGAGCAGGTTAGGTTTTTGAATTTTAGCATTTTAGAGCAATAAGTTGTTACAAAAAAACTAATTAATCAAACACTCATTGATTGTTTAACCAAGTCAAATAGCTAATAATGGTCAAATAAGTTAAAATTGAATGTTAAGCTAATTATGTTACCAAACAGGGCGAGTGACTTTAACGTTGCACTTTGATACAATAATCTGTTTGGTTGTGGCAGGGGTACTTGGATTATGTCAACAGAAATGACAAGATGAAGTTATCAGCTAGAAGTGAAGAGCCAGCTGATGAAGATGGAATTAAACCTTCAGTTGCCTGAATGTATTTCATTTAGCCTGTAGATTCATTGATTGCAGCATAGAATTGAATGAAGAAAGAATTCATGTTATTCATTTATCCAAGCAAAAGGGGAAACAAAAGAATTAAATATTAGAATTGTGTTTTCATTCTAACTTGATTCTAAGGAAAGTGAAGCCATATATATATAAGCTCTCGAGTTATTATTATTTTATTTTATTTTAAAAGTCAAATCAATACAGATATACAATATTAATAAATGAGGTTCTGAATGTGAGCATATATCCATTAATGTGTATCCAACTATCAGCTTAGGTTTTTAGTTGAGATGGAGCACATGCTTTAATTTGGTATCAGAGCCGGACCAAAGGTCATGGGTTCGAATTTTAACGTCAAGCGACAACGGTTGTTTACCGGTCTACGTGTTGGTTGGTCTACGTGTTGGTTGGAATCCACCGTACACATATATCCATTAATGTGTGTATCCAACTATTAGTTTAGGCTTTTAGTTGAGATGGAGCACATACATATAGGGGAGTCAAGCGACAACGGTTGTTTACCGGTCTACGTGTTGGTTGGAATCCACCGTACACATATATCCATTAATGTGTGTATCCAACTATTAGCTTAGGCTTTTAGTTGAGATGGAGCACATACATATAGGGGAGTCGTATCTCAAATAATACAACAGATCGGGTGCTAATTGTTTTTGTCAAGACATGAGCAAGTTGATTTGCCGTTCTTCAATCATTAAGAACAATATAACCTTGTAGCCTGCTCTCTACCACCGCTGCTGACTGCCAAGCCCTCAATTCCCTTGTAGCCTTCACAACAACTACACCCGGCGTTGGGAGAAACCACTCTGAAATTGTTTAAAAAGGGTCTAATTGCACAAATTTTTGACAGCATTAACTAAGAAAGTGCGAACAAAATTACAATTTAATTATCCCCAAAGTTGTTGTAGATATGAAAATTTTGACAACATTAGTTGATTAAAATATGAATGAAATTGCACAAATTTTTTTCAACTAAGTTAATTTTATTTTTAATTTTAGATTTATAGATGACAGTCTATTTTTAATCTATTTATCTGATAATTCAGAATAATAATGTTCTTGATAAAAAAAGACATGTGGACTAACACCTATTTATTTTGGATAAAAAAATGAATTAACTCTTACTAAAAGTATCGGTTAGACAAAAAGAAATGAAGGAAAATAAAAAATAAAAGGACACAATTCTAGTAATTTCCGGTAAAGAAGTTAAAAGCTACACTCCCTATCTTCTCCGGTCATCTATGCTGCACAATACACCGGCCGTCTCTCGCCCTCTTCTCACGGTTACTTCAAGTCTCACCATCGCCGTTCAGAGTGTTTAGCGGAAGAACCAGGTCAGTGTTTTTTATTATTATTATTATTATTATTATTATTATTATTATTATTATTTTTTATTTCTTTTCTTGTGAGTTGGTCGAAGGGCTACTGGTTGAGTTGATTCTGTGTCATGGTTACTGCTGTTTACGTACCAAGAATGGATGGATGGATTTGTGGCTTGGGTAATTGGAATTTTTCCTGTAAATGAGTACATTCTTTTTTTATTTTTATTTTTTTGGGGTGAGCTACATGGAATAGCTGCAATTGATAAGGTGCTTATCTGGTGTTGCACTGTAATGCCTACCAAGTGTTTGATGTAATGTCCCTGATGCAGTCTAGCCTGGTTTACTCTGGTTCTGTTTTGGGAGATTGATATTCTTTGATTTATTGGCCAATTCTTGTTTTCACTGCTTCATTGTTTGGCCATTGTTGTACACAACACTTTTGCTTTTGGTTCTACCAAACTATAACGAGTCAAAACTCTAAGGGGGTTCTAATCTTTTATTCTTCCTCCTTCGAGGAGAGCAGACAAAATCTTATGTACTATATTTGTTTCTTCCATCCTTAATATTCAGTAAATGTAAGTATAGTATAAATACGGATTATTCAATTGAAGAATTTTGATTAATATATGGTTAAGTTAGTTTGATGATTTATTTTTGAGCTAGGCGTTTGAAATTTAGACGCGCATGTAATTTGTATTTGTTAACTACTAGTAATGCTTGATTGGGTAGTGGAGAGCAGAGCTAGTTTACTCATTGGGTTTTTATCTCACTCTTATTTTACCATGTGTTTTCAGATTAGTAAGTGGATTTGGGGAAATAAAAGGGAGCATAACAAGTTTGTCTTCTATTACCTCAATTAATGAAAATCGCTTCAATGTCTCTTCTCCGGCAACGTGTGGTGCCGCTTCTATTTTCAACTTTCAGTGCCTCGGCCTCGCGGCACACCTACTTATCTTCCCCATTTGCCATTGTCTTGGCAGCTCGCCACAACCACCAAGGCTCTAAGAATGTTCCTAAGAAACTACAACAGCCAAATAAGCACCTCCTCAAGGCTCGCGAGACTATCAAGCAATTCTCGCCTCTTGCTCCGGTTCTCTCCAGCGAAGATAAAACAAATCTCTCTCAGGACCAAGCAGTGGGAATGGTTGCTGCTTCACAGGCTAATTTCATGCGCGTTATAGTGCAATCATTGCCTTCGGAAGTTTATAGTGGTTCTGGACTGGTAGAACGTTCCACTGATGCTCCGGGAGTTGGAGTGGAACTACTATGTGTGGTGAAGGCGGTGTTAAAGAAGATCAAGAGGAGAGTGTTGGTTGGGGATAAGGTTTTAGTAGGTTCGATTGATTGGGTGGACAGACGGGGAATGATAGAAAATGTGTTTGAGAGGAAGGGCGAGATTTTGGACCCTCCTGTGGCGAACGTGGATCATTTGCTAGTGTTGTTTTCAATGGAGCAACCAAAACTTGAGCCCTTTTCTCTCACTAGGTTCCTTATTGAGGCTGAGTCAACTGGAATTCCTTTTACTCTTGCATTGAACAAGTGTGAACTTGTTCCTGAAGAGGTCTGCATCTTCTTGATTATTATACTTATTTTCGTTCTTTAAATATTTATGATCAGAGTACTATTAGACATTGGTTTTCTTTGAAATACTTATAATGACTTTGATAAGAGTTTCTTATCTTTCAAACTATCAAACCCCTAAAAGAAATATGAAATGTGAATTGTGTGTTGTTACTGCTATGGAAATGATTTTGGAGTGTGCAATGGATCTCTTGATGACTCATTAGCTGTGCATGTAACTTTTTATATTCTGGGAATATGAATATATGATTACATTGCCATGTATTCAGGAGAATTTTCTAGTTCTATGTTAATAGCTGACTTTTGTGCATTTCCTGCACCATACCTGTCCTGTCTTGTGGATTCTAACCCATCTCTTTGGTTGTATAATCACCTATATGTTGCTTTAATAATATACAAGCTGTTGCTGTAGCTTTAACAAACACAGCACTATACTTGGCTGCCAATTTCTCATTTACGTTTTGTGTCTGACATGATTTATCATTTAGAGTTCTCTTTATGTGATAAACTTTGGTAGAGAATTCTCTAATAAAATCTCCACTGCTTTTAATGTAGTGAGCTTTTCAAATCCCATAATGTACCCATGTTGGGTTCTAGGTCTCAGGGTTGAGATCCTTGGTTTCCTTTTTATTTTTTTTTTTATTTTTTTTTTATTTTTAAATTTATTTCACATTAATTTCCGAATCTATATTGGTAACTCTATTAGGCTCTATTACTTTTGCAGACATTGGTTGAGTGGAAATCTAGGCTTCGTAAATGGGGTTATGAACCTATCTTTTGCAGTGTGGAATCAAAGCGTGGAATTGATACTTTGCTGTTCATTATGAGAGAACAGACCTCAGTAATCGTTGGCCCTAGTGGTGTTGGAAAATCTAGTCTCATTAATGCTATGAGATTCAATAAGCGTGGTGCTGTTGGTGTTGTCGAAGGAGATAACTGTTCAAACCTAGTAAACTTTTCCTCTTCTACTGTTGGTGTTGTAATTCCATTGTTATGTTTCTAAGCCTCTAACATCTTGTTTTCTGGATCATCTTATCAGATTCTGGATAGCAAATGGTTTGAAGAACAACGTGTTGGTGAAGTGTCTACAAGAAGTGGAAGAGGGAAACACACCACTAGGAACGTTTCTTTACTTCCACTATCTGAAGGAGGGTATCTCGCAGATACTCCGGGATTCTGCCATCCTAGTTTGATGAAAGTGACAAAGCAATCTCTTGCAGAACATTTTCCTGAGGTTGGTTTTCGAGGATTAACCTTTATTTCTCATTTTACATAACCAAATAGTTGAAGCATTATTGTCTCATCAGATCCAAAAAATGCTTAAAGAAAAAGAACCAGCAAAGTGTTCTTTCAGCAACTGCTTACATCTTGGTGAACCGGGGTGCCTTGTTGGAGGAGACTGGGAAAGATACCCGTACTACCTTCAGTTGCTTGATGAAATCAAAATCAGAGAGGAGTTTCAGCTTAGGGTACTGGGGACTAAACGAGAAAGTGATGTGAGGTATGCTTCTTATCTAGCTAAAAGAAAAGAAATTGATTCTTCCCTGTTAGGATCAAACGCTTACCGCTACGCCGAAAGCTATAGCTCGTAGCGAAGGCACAACTTTATTTTCGAGAGGCAGGGTCCTGGACTTGGCCCTTCTACCCTTCAGGCCTCTGTGACTTGACTCTGATACCAACTTGTTAGGATCAGGTGCTTACCACGACGCCAAAAGATATAGCTCGTAGCAACGGGGCAACTTCATTTCGTTATACCGCCATACATTTTCAAGAGGCAGGATGCTGGACTTGGCCTTTCAGGCCTCTGCACAACAATCCCCTAGCCACCGGGTGCTAAACTTGGCCCGGCCTCTTACTACCTTTTTTGTTTTCCTATTTCGTGTTTTGTTGTTTCAGGTATAAAGTAGGAGACAAAGGCGTTATACAAGCTGAACCGCGCTTAGAACCAAAGAAGCACAGGAGACAATCTCGTAAGATGCTGAACCAATCAGTCTTAGATGAGTTGGATGAACTTGATGATGATGATGAAGACATACTGGATGATGACAACCCAGTATTGAGAGCAATGAAGCAAGAAAACTTGTAGGATGAAATTCGATCATATGGTTGGGATTTCTATGGACGACAGCAAATCAACCATTGTTAATATGGCTAGAGTGTAAAGAGAGGTAAATGTAAATTCTGCTTCGAGCTGAATAGTTAAGGTGAGTTGAAGCTATGATGATCTTTTTGGTTGGTTATGGCTTCAGCTGTGTACATAGCATGGATATTAACCAATAAATGAGCTTTGTACTGTTAATGCATACACACATCTCACACAATATTTGTTTTTGCAATTACTTTTATACAAGTTTTTGTAATAATTTTATGCTTTTAATAGGCATCGTATATGCGTAAATTATTTTGAAAAAAAAAAAAAAGAAGAAAAGGGTACACATGTTGCACATGAGTAAATAATTGGAAATGTTAATTTTTTTAGAAAGAAGGTTTAATTCATTAAATCATTGTCATGAAAGCTTACAAGGAAAGATGGAGGTGTATCAAACTACTCTCCATAACCTGACATAGAAAAGGCCTCCCGTGCAACTGAATGGGCGACGCAATTCGCAAATCGCTTAATAAAACAGAACTCAATATCACCTATTGTGGATGCTAGCTCTTTAATATCATCAATTATTAATCCAAACAAAGAATTAAAAGATAAAGAACGTAAAACATTAAAAACAACTTGGGAATCCATTCTTTAACGCCTCCCGGATGCATATGGCTTCAGCTTCTTTGACCGCATAGTTCCCCGATAAACACATATTCTTTGCAGCAAAAAACCTGCCTTCATCATCTCTCAATACCCAGTCCAAGCCCATTTCGTGCGTCTCATCTCGGATAGCAGCATATGTGTTAAACTTAAGCATTCCTCGCTTTGGCTTGACCCAGTGTGACACGTTGGTAGGCATCAACCGTGTTACACCTGCTGGAGGAGTGGAGTTTGCATGCTGCCAATTTTCCAGAAACGTTAGGAACCTGCGAAGCATATGATTAAGATCAAAACAAACCCCCTTCCAAACATAATCATTCCTTGACATCCAAATCCCCAAACACGCCATCACAAATTTCTCCACTAAATCCACCCCCAAGGTATTCAGACATGTAAAGAACCATGTACTCACATCATCAATACCGGTCGGCAGCTGCACTCCAAGTTTATTCCATATCTTCATAGCCTCAGAGCAATGAACAAACATGTGAACAGCAGACTCGTCCACCCTTCTGCACATATGACACACAAGTGAGCAAGCCACACGCTTTGAGTTTAGAGCCTCCTAGTAGGAAGATAGTGCGAGACCAATTGCCAACAGAAGGACTTCACCTTCGGTGGAATGAACAGATTCCAAATTTTAGTCCATGGCCGAGGATCATGAGCAACCAACGTGAGCTGCTTGTAAGCTGATTTAGCTGTGTAAGCACCTCTTTGATCCCAAAACCAATACCAACCATCCCGGGGCTTCCGCTTGCTAATAGGAATGTTTAAAATCATGTTGGAATCACGCTCATTAAAAACATCCCGAACACAATCAACATCCCACCCCGTACCTTGTGTATTCATTAAGCATGAAATAGTGGCTTCAGAAACACTGCCATGCAAAGCAGATTGGACGTAAGGGTTCTCCTCCACCGGCAGCCAATGGTCAGTTCCAATTTTTGTTTCTCGCCCATCACCTATATAACGTCTACTGCCTCTTTTTACCAATTCCTAGACAACCATCATACCCTTCCAAATAAAGGAGGGATTGATACCAACCTTTGCTTCGAAGAACGATTTTTACCAATTCCTGGACAGGAGGCACATCTGGTTGGCTACCAGAAGATGAATCAGAAGAAGATTGTTGCACATTGACATAGTAGGTTGCTGCATAGTCACCAAACAATTCTAACATGGCAGCTTGGACATTCTCTAAATACTTCTTCCCATTATCTTTACCATACAGTTCCTCAAACTGGTATGACATATATTCCAACTTATCTCTTGGGTCCAAGATATTGGCAAAGAAGATCAACGGATTCATTTTTTCAGGATCTCCCCAATACTTTTCAAATTTAGTTTTCATTTGGGATTACATAACCTAAGAAAACAATGAATTAAATACAAACAACCAAACACAAATTCATAAATAATAAGATTAACCACTCAAAGTCTGAAAATGATAAAATCAGAAAATTACATGTGTAGAACTACCAGCAACAATCATGCTACTCAAATCAGATATCTCACTGAAGAAACTGTTAGAGGTGACATATAGAGAACCAGAGATTCTCACTGTCATCTCATAAAACCCTTTCAACAGAACTACCAAGCATTCAACAGATGTCCAGTCAAGAAAAGAAGGGACAGAATCACCCAGATCAGCAGCAAATGAGGGCTCATTCAATGAATATGCATCAAACACAGTCTTGTATTGTATGACAGTGCTAAGCATCATGTAGGTGCTGCTCCATCTTGTTGGAACATCTAGCTGTAAAGAACATTTTGCTTCCACCCAAGCAGTTCTGCAAGCTCTCTGAATTTTTTGAGCCTTGCAGGTGAGTTCCTCATCCATCTAACAGAATCCCTCACCTTCTTAACAGAACTATCTGCAAATTTTAACCCATCCTGGACCACCAAGTTTAAAATGTGGGCTATGCACCTCATGTGAATGTACTTACTCCTAACAGTGGTTGTACCCCAAGACAACAATTTGGACTTAAAAAACTCCATAGCAGTATCATTGGAAGAAGCATTATCTACGGTGACAGAAAAAACATCCCTAATCCCCCAGTCAATCAAACAACTCTCTAATGCCTTAGCTATATGCTCACCCTTGTGAGAAGAAATAGGGACAAAGGATATGATTTTCTTATTCAGCTTCCACTGATCATCTATGAAATGGGCTGTAATGCACATATAATTGATCCTCTGCACAGTGGTCCAGGTATCAGTAGTCAAACTAACTCTTTGAGTGTTAAGTCTAAACAACTTCTTAAGGTTTAATCTTTCATCAAGGTAAATCTGGTAAATGTCCCTTGAAATTGTCTACCTAGAAGGTATACAAAATCTAGGGCAAACAACCAAAATGAACCTTGTAAACCCTTGCCCCTCCACAAACCTAAATGGAAGCTCATCAATAATTATCATCTCACATAATGTCTGTAACACCCCCGATTTTTACCACAATTTTTAAAGCTTAAATTCAAAGGTAAGCATCTAAACATCAAGATAAATAACAGCGAAAACTTAATTAAAAACCGGAGAGATGTTATGCCACACTTATCACAAACATAGGTGCACAGACGGGAAAACTAACAAGTCATCAAACTGAAAACGTCGAGGCACACAGACCAACAAAAGGTAACGTCTAAACATGGTAGCTACTCTATCCAGCGTCCACATCTAGCGCGCTCGGCACCTACTCAAAACCTGTAAAACATGGGAATAACACCCGGTCAGCGAATATTGCTAGTAACCCATCAATACACGTTAAATAACATATATAGATAGATATAATCAAAACCATTTGGAATGGGAATACAATATATATCGTTTTAAAATCAAAGAGAGAAGTCAACACCAAACACTCATCAATCCCTCTCAATAGAAACGAGGATCATCCTCCTCACAACGACAACAAGAACACAAACATGAAAGACACAACTCAGGATGCATCCTACTGATCACAAAGTAGAATACATCAAGACATGCTCATAAGCAAGGAATTCACAATCACATGGTGACAACTACATGCCATAGTGACAACTACATGTCACAAGTTTCATAGTTTCAAGTTCCAACCTTATGGCTACCCCTGGCCTTATAACAGTTCCAACCGTTACCTCCTAGTGCCACCCTGTACTTCTGAGTCCAACCTTATACCGCCAGGGACCGTCGCCCCCCCCCCCCCCCCCCCATCAAGACATGCTCATAAGCAAGGAATTCACAATCACATGGTGACAACTACATGCCATAGTGACAACTACATGTCACAAGTTTCATAGTTTCAAGTTCCAACCTTATGGCTACCCCTGGCTTTATAACAGTTCCAACCGTTACCTCCTAGTGCCACCCTGTACTTCTGAGTCCAACCTTATACCGCCAGGGACCGTCGCCCCCCCCCCCCCCCTCCCCCCTCCCCCCTCCAACAACCTCCAACATTACCGCGGAACTCTCAGTACACGAGGGTACCATTAATTTCATTCACACAACCTCCAACATGTGAGCAAAGCTCAAATAGCAAACCACCAATCTCAATCATGGCCACACGAGGACCTCATCATTACCAAGAAGACTAAGGCTCAACAATAGCCTCAATCAAGTATCAACAAAGGGTACAACGATTTGCATACGTTCACATCATAGAAATCAATTAAGAGATCACAATAAAGACATGGGACCATACTCAATAACAAAGGATCACAATCCAACACCAAATGATTGTCAACACAAGTTGCCAATCCCAATAAGAAGGAACAAACAACACATACTAGCATTTCAACATCAAAATAGCATGCTTATCAAACGGGTAAACCAAAATCAGTTCCAAAGAACATTCAAGACTCACATTAGCCCAACGAATCACAAAGTTAGACCCTTAGCACGATTCAAGGCACCAAATCCTACATGGATTCCTAACACACCGTTCTAGACATACGAAACATCAAGAAGACTCACAAATAGCTCAATAAATCAACATCGGGAGGTTAAAACATCAATACCGAGGCGAAAGAATCACGGGGAACAAATCCCCGACATCAACCAACAACGTTCCCCGCGGGTGGGGCCACGGGTGGACCACCGCCCGTGGTTCCGCCCGCGGGTACATGCACCCACGAGGCCGGTTCCCCGCGGGTGGGGCGGCGGGTAGGGCCCTGCCCGTCGTTCCGCCCGCGGGTACACCCTCCTGTACAAAATAATCCCTTCGGGGATTTTCAACAACAAGGCCAAGTTCAAGTCCAGAACACCCAAAATCTCACACACAACAACAATATGACTTGAACCCAAGAAATAGCCAAGCAATGGCATTCAAGAACCCTAAGAACAAGCTCTAAACATGCATCACCACAAGATCATGCATCAAATCTCACAAATCATAACAAGAATAACAAGAAGAAGCCAAGAATCGTCATATAAGTAAGAAAATAGGTTTTGTATAGCATGGGTTACCTTTGTAGCCTAACAACTTCCTCTTTTCACCCTTAATAGCCTTTCCTAGAGCTCCTCTTTCACACCAACTTCTTACACACAACAAAACACAACAAAGATCCTAACTTTAGAAAAAGACACCTAAAAGAAGGTTAAAAACACCAAAAAGCTAAGAATCTTACCCTTTCCTATGCTCAAGATGAAGAAAGTAGGAATCTTGGGAGAAAATCTTACAAGGCTTGGATGCTCAATTTCTAGCTTGGAGAAGAAGCTAAATCATTTTAGAGAGAGGCTAGAGTTTTTGGGTTTTTGGTTGAAGGGTGAATGAAATGAGAGAGTCTTGCTAGGTTAGCTTGAATCACCATCCTTAGGTAGAAAGACATTCCTACCCTTACTAATGTTGGTAAGACAAGGGAACAAGGGCACAATTCAAGAAGCACAAGGTACAACCCTTTGACTTAAGTGGCTAGTCAAAATCTAGTCCCTTGACTATTAAATTTCAGGATTTTTAGAAATAGATTAGCAACGAGACTTGGATTAATTCTTCAATTAATCCCCGATTAGTGTTTGGATTTGCGGGGTGTCACAATGCCCTCCTAATGGCTTCCTGATTGAACACCTAAGTCCCTAATTCCCCAAAAACCCCTTCAGAACCCCCCTGAGTATCAAATGATGTCACAGTAGTGAAAGTAAGCAGTGACTGCCTAGTCTCCTTAGAATGGGGATTTTTTAGACAAGCAACCATATGATTCCTTAAAGAGGAAGTGCTATGCTTTTTAGCCTCACAATGATACGCGCATTTCCCCTTTATTACTTTGTTTTCAGAATCATGGATCTTTTCAAAATGTTCCCAAACTTTAGACCTAGACTCAACCTCCTTCTTCTTCTTTGCAAGAACAGCAGGATTAACCTGAGGTTGCTGAGCAGTTGTCTCAGTGCCTTGGGCTATTCCTCCATGCCCCTCCTCAGTTGAGGGTGGAAATCCATATTGAGTGGCACTATCCATCTACAAAGATGGGCACCAGTTTTCAGTTTGTGTGACAGAAAAGCCACATAATAAACATACAAAGAAATCCAGAATCAGACACAGTAGTTTGTGTCATCATTTTTCCAGATTTAACAATTAGCAATTAAGGGTCATACATCCATAAACTGATAAACATCCTTTATATAATAAAGTTATATGGTTTGGAAAATATTTAATGTTACAATTAATGCAACAACATCCTTTATTATAAAAAAAAAAAAAAAGAAACACAACATTTAAAAAATAAAATAGCTATATATTATATAATCATATAAAAAATATACTTTTGAAAAATAAAATAGTTATATATTATATAATCATATAAAAAATGTGTTCAATTAGATTTTAAATTTACACCTACAAAATTTGAAATTTGCTTTCCAAATGTAATTATCTTAGTTATTATTTGTATTGTGAAAATTATAATATATATGAAATACAATTAAGAATAAATCGATGTAATTATGTAAATTCTCTCTATAAATTTATTTGAATATGCACATAATTAGAGATTATATTAACCATAAAAAATTATAATTTTAATTTTAATTGTAATTTTGTATTCTATAAAAATAATAAATACTTGACCAATGGAAGCTCAAAAATATTATTATATTAAATAATTTAAACTATTTTAGTTTTTTTATATTTTATTTATATTTATAATAACATAATTTTTTCCTGTGCATCGCGCGGGTGAATTACTAGTAATAACATATACAATTATACAAATAAATCCAGATTTAGGAACTCAATCTAGTTCATCACTATCTGGATTTGAGTTAATTGTTAAGGGCTTCCACCAATAAATGGAAATTCCAACACTGTTGATTTCACATTTAAGCTTTTAACTCGAATTGGGACAT